GGTATGTAGTCAACGTGTCTGATGTTTTAATGTGTGTCATTAGTTGATGCAGCACATAGATCTAATTCATTGTTATGTACTCGAATTTAAAAAAAATACACCCCCTTTTCCCTATTCGCTAATTATGAAACGTAGGCTATTATCGGGACGAACACGAATAATGAACTCAGATAAAAGATTTGAAAACAAAAACAAGTAGTAAAAAAACAAACTTAAAATAATATCGAATTTTTTACATTTATTATATGGTATGCATGTTTTGTAGTCTGCCGTAAAAATCATGATAGAAGCATCGTTCATGCTGTTTACCGGTTTTGTACAGTTCTAAAGTAGAGAAGTTTATGTTTATGATAAATACCGTTAAAAGGTTTGTTCTCGTTTGGAAAATTCATATTCTAAACGGTAGGGCGGGTAATGATATTTTGAGAACGATCGACTTTGAACTCTCATAGAGACAGTTAAATGAAGGAGAATAAGCTAATACAATGTGGCATGTCTGTATACTCCATCTGGGAAATTTTATATCAAGGGAAATAAATTATGTTCTTTGTTTGGTTCAGGATTGATTGTCTCCTGAAAAATGAAAATCAAAGGTGAAAGAGATTAGCGAAATTTTCAGGCATTCTCTGAAATTACAAAACAAAACAAAAAATGAATACGAAAAAAGCCAACATTTTGGAAATAGTCAACGTATGATAGGAGTGGAAATAATCGATGTGTAATGCGAGCAGTTCTAACACACGATTACAATGAGTCACAGAATATGGTATGTTCTTCAACTAAAAGAATATTTTTGTTTGAAGATGCACCATCCCCTACCCCCTTTCCGTGGGGATCTTAGAAAACAGTGTACTCTATTCAAAGAAGCAAATAAAGTGCTCTTAGAAATGGTCATATTTTAAAAAGCAGAAAAAAATGACCAAGAAAATCATTTGCTTGTCAACGTGTAAATGTCATGAAATAGGCTGAGGTCTTTGGTTTTTATAAAGACTGTATTTAGAATGAAAGAGTAACCACCCACCTAACCACTCCCAAAAGATCGGAACATGCTATCATGTCAAGGCCGTTTATAAGATCATGGAGAGTTGTCGTTCGATTCGTCATCTCCGTGGCAATATAAGCGGCCCGAGGCAGTCAACACCAAGTACGCCATCTTCACACCCAGACTCCGAGCTTGTTGACGGCTTGGCGACGTGTCCGCCGGCTGTGGGCTGCAGAATTAGGTTTACGCGTTACCACAGTTCAGATGCCCTGCCACAGGCCCCTGGGTGAATGTCCTCTCATGAGAAGCCTCGGAAAGCCTCTCTAGATTAAGGTTGCATGCGACCAATAGGCCTACTCTTTATAGGTGTTTCTTGTTGTTTTTCTCTACGGTGGGGATCATAAAGAGTCATTTTCTTATCGTATGGCAACTGATCGTGTCTAGTCTTGTCTTATTAGTTTCGTTCTTCAGTCTATCTTTTCTTTTCATCTGCATATGATCGTAACATGCTATCTAGCCTTAGGCATTAAATTTCTACCAAGTGATAACTGTTATTATGGATGGCACGCTTGTCTCCAGATTCATGCACTGAGGCTTTTTCTCTTTGAGACGAGGCCACTGAAGTTTGAGCGTTTGATAGTCTACACACTGGTTTCAAGCTTGAGACCTGTAATAGTATAGATTGTGAAGCGCATAGAGCTTGCTGTTGAGCGGGGATCTGCGCTATGCAAATGCTATCTATCTGTCTATCTATCTATCTATATATCTATCAATCTATCTATCTATCTATCTATCTATTATTATTATTATTATTATTATTATTATTATTATTAT